AGCTGGGAGAGATTGGACGGGGAGGCGCCGTCCACCCCTGCCCCTTCCAGGCCCGGAGGAGGCTGGAGGCTGCTTCTCCTTCCCCCTCCTCCCAGGCGCGCCAGATTGGGGCACGCCACAGCCTGGGGGTGCCGCTCTGCCAAGCCCGGGTCCCAGGCGGGGCGCACGCCCACCGGCTGGGCTGCGTTCCAAAAGTTTGCCCGGCGCCGCCTTTGCCCCGTGGAAGGTTTGGTGGAACGTGTGCCAGCCGCACTGTCAAGGCAGGAAACAACCAGCAGAGCCGGGGGAGTCCCGTAGCCCCGGGCACACACTTGGCAGGGGCTCCCATGTTTCCACTGCCCGCTGGGCGGGTGGCGAGGGAACCTCCCTCAACCACTGCGTAGTGACGAGGGTCCCTTTGAGTCGCTGCGCGCCTGGGGTTCCCTTAATCCTCGCTGTGATGCGCGCCACGCAAGGTTTCTTTTGGGAGCCTGGGTTCCTGTGAACTGCACGGGAGGTGGGGGCTCTCCCAAGGATTGCACTGCTAATTGATGGCAACGAGGGGAGGGGTCCCCTTGCATTTCGTTTAGGAACCTGCGCCCCGTGCATTGCATTCCACGGGGAAGGGCAGTAGTGGGGGAGACTCTCCCAAGCATTGCACCGCTGATTGATATCAACAAGGGGAGGCTCCCCAGGCATTTCAAACCGAGGGCTTCCCCGCCCAGCGGGAGGGAGGCCCCGTTTGCTCCCCATGCAGGGAGCAGCACAGGGGAAATCCCCACTGATTCAGGCCAAGCAGCAGGAGCTTCCTAGTTCAGCGCCCAGCGCCGCGGGATGGATCCCTGGGCTGCGCTGATTCAGGCTTTCCGCTGCCCCAGCCCGGCTCGCAAGCTGCGGGAGACCTGGCCTGGGAGGCGCTGCCAGCTGGGGCCTGGGAGCAGGGAGGGCCGGTAAAGCCACATCCAGCCTCCCCGCCTCAGCCGGACTTGACAGGTCCACGCGACCAAATAAACTCCGGCCGACTGACGCGGGAAGGAGCCAATCAGGGGCCGCGGATGGGGGCCAAGCGTGGGAGAAAGCGAAGGCGGAGCCAAGATGAATGAGTGGCTGGCCTGGCAGTGCCCCGGGGGGAGCCGCCGTGCGCCCAGCCGCTGGTCTCCAGTCTGCTGCAAACCAGCCGCGCACCGGGGTCCCCTTGCAGCCAGCGCGGCCTGCACAGAGCCAGACCGAGGTGGGTAACCCTGGGGGCTTGGAGCCTTCGCACGTGTCAAGCACAAGTTTCTTATCTAGTCCTGACCTTCAAAGCCCTTCTCAGCTTAGCCTCCCTCTCTCTGTCCTTGCTGCTCTGTCATAGCTGGCTCCCGTCTTCCTTCTCCCACCCAGGCTTGCCGGCTTCTTCCCCCCGTGCTTTATTGGTGGAGGGCATGGCTCATGCTTAGAGGTGAACAAGCCTGGGTTCAAATTCCAGAACTCCTGGCTGCTTTGTTGCTGTACCTAGTAGTGGGGCTTAGCCCTTAAAGTAAGGATAATTGCAAACTGCGCCCCCGAGGAAGGACCAATCAGTTCCATGCAACTAGACTGCAATCCTCTTTCGAAAGAGGCTTTTTTCGAAAGATACTTTTGAAAAAGCCTCTTTCAAAAAAGAGCGTCCACTACAACCAGTACTTTCGAAAAAGCAAGCCACTTTTTCAAAAGAGAGCACCCAGACAGTCTGGATGCTCTGTTTCAAAACAGGCCTGTTTGCATTCAAGAACGTCTTTTTTTGAAAGAAAAAACTGGACTATGTAGCACTTTAAAGACTAAGAAGATGGTTTATTAGGTGATGAGCTTTCGTGGGCCAGACCCACTTCCTCAGATCAAATAGGAAAGAGCACTTTCGAAAAAAGGCATTCTTCCTCATAAAGTATGGTTTTCCGCGGTCGAAAAAGCTGCCGCATTCTTTTGATTTAATTTCAAAAGACTGCGGCAGCAGTCTAGATGCAGGGGAAGTTTTTTTTAAAAAATGGCGACTTTTTTCGAAAAAACTCTGTAGTCTAGACACAAAGAAAATAGGAAGTGACTGTTTGGGAAGGAGCACTGCAGAAAAGGATCTAGGGGTCATCATGGCCCACAAGCTAAATAGGAGTCAATGGTGTGCCAAAAAAGCAAACATCACTCTGGGATGTGTTTACAAGAGTGTTATAAGCAAGAGAGGAGACATCATTCTTCCCCTCTATTCTGAATTGCTCAGGCCTCAGCTGGAGTATTTTGTCCAGTGCAGGGCATCATGTTTCAGGAAAGATGTAGACGAATTAATGACGGTCCAGAGAAGAGCAACAAAAATGATTTAAGGTCTAGAAAACATGAGGTATGAGGGAAGATTGAAAGAACTGGTTCAGTGGGGTTGCTGGGTTTGTTTAGTCTGGGAAAGAGAAGACTGAGCATAATAGCAGTTTTCAAGTACCTAAAAGAGTGTTATGAGGAAGAGGGAGAAAAATTATTCTCCTTTACGTCTGAGGATAAGACAAGAAGCATTGGGCTTAAATTGCAGCAAGGGAGGTTTAGGTTGGACATTAGGAAAGTCTTCCTGTCAGGGTGGTTAAGCACTGGACTAAATTGCCTAAGGAGGTTGTGGTATCTCCACCACTGGAGATTTTTAAGAACAGGTTAACTAAACATTGTCTGGGACAGCAGGACCACCAGCAACCAGGGATCCGGGCAAGGTGGGGAGTAGGGAGGGCAGCTTCGTGCCCTGGAGTGGCTGGAAGGAGCAGGGCCAAGGACTGCCAACCCTCAGTACCACCCAGACAACAGCATGCCCACCCCACCTCAGCCACATGGAGTGTCCAGTGCAGTTCTCTGATGGCAATTTAAAGAGTCCAGGGCTACAGCCACTGCCAAGGCCACAGTCGCCAGGAGCCCCGGACCCCTTTGAATCGCTGGCCCCAGACAACTGCCCATTTTGCTCCCCCACCCCCTGTCAGCAGGCCTGGTCAGGGATGATCTAGATCCATGGTGTCCAACCAGTTCTGAAGCTAGTGAACTAGCCACACTCAACTGGCCAGATAGCCACTTGTGATTAGTGGTTAACCTGTTGAACACCACGGATCTAGATGGTGCTTGGTCCTGCCATGACTGCAGGAGACTGGACTTGATGACCTCTCAAGGTCCCTTCGAGTTCTACTATTCTATGATTCTATGCTGCCCTTTCTGCCTGGGGAAAAACTGCCTGCCAGCATCTGTAAAGCCATCATGTTATTCTCCTTCTAATCGCTTTGCCATAGTGCACAGGGAAATAGTCTCTGGTAATGGATTTGCAGGTGACAACGTTGGGATTGGCTGGAACTGAGAGACTAAGATTTGTGCATGTAAACTGTGCAAGAACAAAGCTGTTCTCCTGGCCACTCTTCTTCACCTCTCCCCTCTCACTTGTTTCTCTCATCCTCCTGTTGTCTTTTCTTTTCAGCCTGTAAGTTCTTTGAGGTGTGCTCTGCCATTGACAGTATGTTTGTACAGCGCCTAGCACAATGAAACTGATTTGCTTGTGATTTCCAGGATTCACTGCAATGTAAGTGTTAGACAATAAGAAAATTGACCTTACGATTTTCACTCCAGGAATGCTCAAGTGGGAATTTTGCCTGGGCACAGTGGGGCAGCTGGATACTATGCCAGGAGTAAGTTCACTAAACAGATGGCAGGGAAGAGAGGCAGAGAGAATAGAAACGGAAACATAAAAGTGAGGAGGAAAGAGCCTAGGAATGAAAATTATATGAATGTAGCCATGTTGAGAGGGGTGCTACCAGTACTGGGAGAAGACTTAGGCTCCACATAAGACCCCTTCTGTTCCACAACACCTGTGCCAAAGATAGGGATGAGTGAACATAGTAGCACATTGCTGTCTTTTGGTTAGGTGCATAGACATGTTGGCCTGGAAGAGCCCTTCTGGGTCTTTGCATTCAGTTCCTTGCTGTGGTTGGCAATCCTGCCATGTAATCCCCCACACACATTTACCAAGCTGTATCTTAAAACTTGTTAGCTTGTTTGCCCTCATGCCTCCTAAGGGAAGGTTGCACCAGAACATCACTCCTCTTGCTCCGGGCAAGGGGGTCAAGCAGGGAAATGTCCCCAAACAGCAGAGGCACAAAACTCCTCTGGGGTCAGAGCAGAGGAAGCAAGTTCCTCTGGCCAAGACCCAGGGCCATGGCAGGAGAACCAGCTCCATGGTCCAGGGGCTTTGTGGGGAAGGAGGGAGACCCAGCTCCGTCAATCTGGGTGAGGGGATGGGGAGAAAGGGGGCAACTGCCCCAGAACCCAGCAATAAAAAAGGGCCCAGAGCTCCCGGCAGCCTCAACTATGGCAGCAGTGGCAGCCAGAGCCCCAGTCCCTTTAAATCACTGCTGGAGGACTGAGCTGTGCGTTCTGAGCAACACTAAGGGCTGTCCAGGAGCGGCACAGATAAGGTGCTTCCCAGGAAGTGCTGAGGACTGCCTAGCCCCAGTCCCGCCCTTTTCTCCTGAGGCTCCGCTCCTTCCAGGGGTGCAGAGCAGGGGCCCCTTACTTTCCCAGTGGACTGGTGAGTCTGTTGGCCCTGCTGGGGGGATATGATGGAAGGCAGTTCCTCCACCTGGTGTGGAGGAGGAGAAAGAGTCAGTTCCTCCATATGCCAGAAGAGGCAGTCATACTTTGGGGGAAGGATGCAGCTCATCCATCTTTCCAAAAGTGGCAAAATATTCATAAAATATTAGAATATTCATAGAATCATAGAATAATAGGACTGGAAGGGACCTCAAGAGGTCATCAAGTCCAGCCCCCCGCCCTCAAGGCAGGACCAAGCTCCGTCTACACCTCCGTCTTCATTCCTGTGCACACCCTTACCGCTGATATTTAGAAATGTACTAAATTCCAGCCTGAATTTCTTCATGGCCAGTTTATACCCATTTGTTATTGGGTTGGTATTGTTCTTTAGTGTAAATCATTCTCCTCCCTTCCATGTCCCCCGCCCCAAAATATGTTTGACCGTATTATCACCCTCTACCCAACTAACTTTTTCTGACACAATTTCTGTAAGGGTTTCCTGGGTTTCTTGGTTTAGTGTCCCAAACTGCTGCAAACACAAAGGTTTCTAGTCCATTTCCATTCTCTGGTCAGCTAGCTGTGTTGAATTTCACCGTGAGTAATGAGCTGTGCGTTTCACTACCCTGAAAGATGGACAAGCTGCACTGCCCGTAAAGAAGCCTTCAAACACGTAGAAGACCATGAAATACCCCAGGTCCCTGCTGGCAGGGGAGCCACTGCACTATAGTAACATTATCTCTTTGTCAGCAGGTGACTCTCAGGGATTCTCCTCAATTAGCTCTATGCATGTAGATCTAGAATGATATGCAAAGTTGCAGAGCAAGGGAATCCGCATTATCCCCTGCTGACCTTATGGATTTTTGCTGTGAAATCTCATTGGGTATTAGGAGTGTTTGAGCAGCATGAGTTCCCGCAGAGTTTCTTTTGCAGCTCCTGCTCCCTGGCGTGAGGATTCTTTATTGTGCTGGCAAAGGAGGTTCAGAGAGCCAGAACAGCTGCATGGAGAAAAATATCTTCCATGGGAGCCAGGCATGTCCTTTTCCATGGACCTTAAGAGCGGGAGGATACACTTCCTGCATCCTTCGCAGATGTTAATGGCACCCCTGAAGCCTCAATGAGATAACTCTTGCAGAATTCCTGGGCTGCTCTTCAACTTCCTGCAGGGGAGGCTCTCAGAAAATAGATAAATAAAATAAATCCTGTTTATTCTTTAAAAAGAGAATAGTGATAAATCAATACTGTCCCTCCTCTTGTTGAACCAGGTTCAAGTACAGGTTGAACCAGGTTCAAGTACAGGTTGAACCTCTCTAATCCAGAACTCTGTAGTCTGGCAACATCCATGGTCCGGCATGTTTTTAGTTCACCAGATGTCCACTTATGGGTGTGGCCAAGTTTTCTGCAGTTCCATTCAATTTGATAACAGCTACCAGTCCTGGTTCTCAGTGTTCTGTGCTTGTTATTTAGCTCTAATTTACCCCTAAATGTCTTCTAAGAGCCCAGTAAGCAGTGGAAAAGTTGGTAATACTGCTAGACAATAGTGACCTCCTGTGATTTGGCAAATTCTCTGGTTTGGCACAGATGGTGCCGGACTACAGAAGTTCAACCTGTTCTCATTTGTTTCTCCTGCAAGGGGAAGAAGTAGTGAGCATCTGACAGCAGTTTTGTCTGTTTGTTTGT